AAAAAGAAAAAAAAATTGGGGTTTGCTCGTTTGTCTCTGTTGGTCTGTTCGTCTTGTCTAGTTTTTCGTTGTGTTCGTTTGTTTTCACACTGTCTAGTTGTTAATAGAATTTAGATTCGCTCTCGCGTTCAGTTGTATTAGTATTAAGTAGATATAAGTCTTCCTACTAACAGCCGTTTGGCACTAACTTCTACACAGCTAGCTATTCGTTGTGGCACTCAATTATTTTGTTCGCTACAATCAGGTTTACTTTTAGACCCTTCGGGGGACTATGGCCTTGCAGCGTAAAAACTGCACGCCAATATCAAGCAAAGAGGGTACTGTAGCCTTATGTACGCCGTTCAGAGAGATCCTACCTTTTCTGTACTGTCTATCTTCTCTCCTTCCTTCTTACCCTCTTCCCTTACTCTCTTTTTTTTCCGGCTTAACACCTCGTGTACGGCCGATATCTTTCTTGTATGTATGTATGTATGTATATATGTATGTATGTATGTATCTTCTATTTATATATATAAATGAGGATATTTATTTATTTGTTTGTTCACTATACACTCCTAGGCCGTTCGACCAATTGCTACGAAACTCGGCAGTTACGTTTGAATACTTCTAATCTAGATAACGTCGTACATCATACCTCAAAATATCTATCGGATTTCTGTAAATCAATTAATTTCTATCGATGTTTATTTGCCGATTTACACGTATCACCATCTATTGGAAAAAAAATTAACAAAATAATAAACTAAATATAATTCTTACAAAAAGGATATAATTTCAAAAAATATATATTATATTCACTTAATTAGGCTACGTCCTACGTGACAGCGTCCAGCGACCGCAAGCAGAAAAAATCTTTGTACGCGCGTCCAACTCGCGAGTGACTTCTGTCCAGAGTGGACACGTATTGTTTACAAAATGGCGGCGAGACGACTTTGTTGAATGCTTGCTACGGAAAATATAACAAGCATTAAAACGGTAAATTTGACAGGTAATTGTTATCACTAACTAGATACACAACATATATAAAGAATCTTTATAGAATAATAAGCTATAAAAGTTTTATTTTTAAAACGTTACATTTATACAAAATCAGAAATTATTAAATTACGTAAAAGATTATTAATTAAAGTATGTACAACATATACGCACAATTTATTTATCATTCTGTTTTTATTTATCTACAAAATCAGCCATTTTTTCGTCTTTGGAAGCGCGAGCAGTGGAAGCGACGATCAAATTTGCTTGGTAGCTGCTTCCTGCACACGCGTGTAAAAGCGCCATCTAGTGGTCGCTGCACGCTGAACGCGGTTACTTCGGACGCGCACATTTGCTTGAATCAGTTTGTCCGCTCCGCTTGGAAGCGCATTCACGCCCGCGGTCGCTGGACGCTGCCACGTAGGACGTAGCTTTAATGCGGCAATCATATAGCGCAAAATAGACGTGCTATATCATTATCACTACATACCAAGTTGCATATAACGCCTTCGTGGAATGAAAAGTGCATGGGCGTAGCGAGGAGGGAGCCTGGGTGGGCACGGCCCCTCCCAGGGAACCTGGTGCCCTCCCCAGGAAATCACAGCCGAAAAAGTGTTGAGTCGATTTGTAAAAACCTAAAGCTAAAATAAAAGTTTTGAATACTAAAAAAAGGTGAACGGCTTGCTCGGTGCCCAATAATGAACAATAATTTGAAATAATTCAATTTTGTGTCAGGTTGGCCTCCACTAGGCTCCCCCATAACAAAACTCTGGCTACGCCCATGGAAAAGTGTTACCCCGTGAAAAATCTATAGTAAGTCTATAGTATTTAATTTTCCACATCTAACGACTCGGTTTTTTCATTTCCGAACAGTAATTTCTTAATTCTAATAATCTCCCTCCAGTAGCCGAGTACATTAAACCACCGAACCCTGGTAACTAGTTAGTCGTGGGTTCGGAACTAGCCAATTGCGTGACCACTTGGAGTTTTCCGGGTTTTCATCACCTAAATAGGGTCCAGATTCCCATAAAAATCTTCCCGGGAAGCATTTTCCAGCAGATCGCTCACGTGTCGCGTTGCGGTAACCAAATAAACCAAACTAATGCTTGTAACGAGCGATTATTTATTGTGAATTTATTCTGACATCGTCACAATGTTCTCAATCAATTCTTTGAGTACAGTCTTTTTTCTGCACATTATTCTTTTCCTGTTAGCAATTAAGTCGTGTCGGTCATCTATTTAACTCCGTTCGGGGAAATTTTGAATTGAAGCAACATTACTTTTGTTCCAAACCGAACGTTTATGTATAGTTAATATGGGCCTCTTGTCTCTAAGCTTTCGATATCTGGTCTCGACTTTCATCTAACTCAGTAGTGGCCAACAGTTTTTGCCCCCGGGCCGGATTGGAAAGAAAACTTTTTCCACGGGCCGAATCAGAGGTTGCCCCAGGAAGATTTTGAGGTGGTGCGAGATCTCATTGTGGTGTCATCCCGTAGAGACTGAACTGTAGATAGAGAGTATTAAGAGATTTGTAATGGAGGGTTAACTCTAAACGCACAGTGAGTTGTTGACCCTTTTTCTTTTACGCGTCAGAATTTTTCATCGAGCTGTTTTGAAAGATTGATCGCGGGGCACATAAATTCATTACACGGGCCGGATCTGGCCCGCGGGCCGTATGTTGGCCATGCCTGATCTTACTCCTCGAGATTAAGGAAGGACAGACAGCCAGACAGAGAAGGGACAACAGTTAGAATTTATAAGTCTATAATTTTTTCAAATTGCAGCCCAATAATTTTTCTATAAACGCGATATTTACGAGAACGTACAGTATTTTCCACGTAGTTTATACAATCTGTTGCCAAAATTTAAACACTTTATTGTCAGATAAAAGCAAGTACAGTACGTTCTCGCATTTTCACGTGATTTTTTTTATTTAAACAAGTCGTACGAAGTCTTTCGGACGTTAAGGTCAGCTACTTCGATCACATTACAATCTTCAAACACGGATTACTTTTCCAATGTTTACAGAAGACCAGTATTAATAAGTAGTCGTTGACCATTCTCTTCCGGAAGGAGGCCAACGATTACTTTTGGTCGAATCACTTCGACCTCCTTCTGTAACAGTCCCTTCTTCTATCGTATGTGACATTCGGAATATGAAGCGGGTATGTGACATTCGAATAGGAAAATTACATAATACAAGGTTACCGGACCGCATAAAATATGATTTTAGTGATTTCCGCGGATGTCGAGTTTAAATATTCGATTTGTTGACAGATTACCGTTTGATAATTGGCTGAGAATGGTACTGTACAGTTTCTTAGAGTTAATACCAGGAAAAAAATATATCTGAAAAAATTTAAGATATGGTATTTTCAATTGGTGTCTACTTGACTATTGAATTTGTGCCATTTCTTACCATAGCGATAAACGTGACAATGGTAGACAAAAATAACCAAACTCTACATGGCTTTCGTTTTAATGCTTTTATAGTATTTGATTTATATAATTGCAATAGTTATCTTAGATAGGGGTTTATTACACCGAGTGACCAATCTAACAATTTTAAAAATTCTTTATTCCTCTACTGTACACAATTTAAAGAATTTTTAAAATGTGTTAAATTAGGCACTCGGTGTGATAAACTCTTACGTAAGATAGCCTTTGTAAATATAAAATAAAATACTATAATATGACGTAATAGAAGGATTAGAAGTACGAAATAATCTAATAATTTAATCATTACTGTTGTTGTTGTTTGCCCGAACAACGCCGGGCTCATCTGCTAGTATTATAATAAATAAGTATAATGAAAACAATATAAATTTTTTATATTGTATATAAAGACAGTGTAATATACGGTAGTGTACAGTATATTACTAATAAAGATTTTATTTTTTATATCTGAATAATATACACGTCCTTTATGCTGTTATTTATATTTATTAAAATCTTTTATAATAATTTCGTAAACTTTATTTTTTCGTAATATATTTGTAATAAAACCGAAAAATGCTATAATATTTTGCCGGTAAATTTTTGTTCGAACAATTTGATTATTGTCAATAAAGATTTCTAATAAATTGATTTTTATTTATATTGGAATATTTTAAGATAAATAAGTAAATAAATATCCGCCCTTATTTCTACCCCGGGCATTTTATATACAAACTGTGGTGCCAGTGTTTCTTTGCAGGGTAATTTCATTATTTTATTTATAAATACATAAATAAAAATATTTAAAGACCATTTAAAGAAGAGGTGTGCGAATAATTAATTTAGAAGAAAGATATAAAATTATTTTAATTACCGTGAAAGATTTATACATAATAAAACTTTTATTTATATATAGATAAATATCGCGCGTATCATACGAAGAAATTTATACGAAAAATTTATGTTCTTTAAAATTTTTTCCATTGGTTTCGACTTAACGTTTAATCGCCAATTAAACAAAAATAAAACATAAAAATAATTCCCGGAAAGTGGTCCAGGACCCCTTGGTCAGTCATCAAAATTTAATATTTTACCGATTAATTACCGGTGTCATTTATTACGAATTAAATTAAAAATTATATTTATTAATTAAAATTCCCAAGTGCTTCCATCTAGCGACGGAAATAAAATAATTTTTAAAGACTGGTGGTAGGGAAATTATCATTTTAACCCAAGTACGAAAAATTTTAAATATAATTAAAAGTAAAAAATATTTTTAAATTTAAGAATTAGAAATGTAATTAAATTGAGAAATAAGTACGGACGGAAATTAACCCGATGGTAAAAAACCCGACTCGACCCGGGCGGAGAAAAATGAGTTTTCTTTACGGGAGCGTAGGAAAGAAACTTTAAGGAGGGACGAGAAAGAGAAGAAGCCACTCGACGGTTATTTTAAGAGATAAAAAGTACGATTTTTTGGAGTTTTCGCAGGCGTGTACGACGTCACGACGACGGAAGGGGTTCCGGCCGATGAGTCACGCGAGTTTCGGAGCGAGTGCGACGTCACGGTGGGGGTGAAAAAAGACAAACGGTTATTTCGGCCGGCAGGACGAGTAGGCGGACGGAGCGAGTCACGTCCGGTAAAACCGGAAAAGGACGTGGAGCCGAGGGGCGGAGCCAGAGTAGGAGTGGTTTACGCTCTTTTTATCTGCGCAGCGAGATCGGCCGAGTGGGAAGAGTGGCGCCCGCCGGCCCTAACACTCCGCGGTAATTACGGACACGTCGCCCGTCCGTCCAAAACATGGAAGGGATCCGTCCGACGCACGAGACCGAATTCGCAGGCGTGGCCCATCCGCTACCATATTACGGGAATCCCCCGGACCTCCCGAGACCAGAAGACGGCACCAATCCCACCGTTTTCGCCGTGTCGGCGGGATGCGTAGTGGCAACGGCCGCGCTGCTGGCAGTCTTGGTCTGGGTGTTCCGCCGCCGGACACGGGAGAAAGGTGAGCAAATACATCCTTTTTTCTTTACTTAAACCGAAATAGCGCAAATTCCGGCGGAAGACGAGGGAAATTTCCCTGCTACGAACGGGTTCAATCTAGCCTTTAATCCGTAAACGAATCTTAGTTTCGGAAAAAGAGGGGACGGTTCCCGAGTTCCGTCGGCAGTCGGGCCGAGCCGGGACTTTTCCCACGGCCGAGACATCGCTCTATACCCGGGGGAGCGAAGGGGAATGGCCCCGGGCCCGGAAGCGCGCTCTTTCTCCGTCGGTAGAAAACGGGTTTTCCCACAGATGGAGAATTCCTTTCTTCCGGAGGACGGGGAAGGAAATTTCCGCCCCCAGGTAGAGTCAACGGATGAAAACGTAACAGAGAACGGCCCGGGCCGACGGCGGGAAAGTTTTCGGGCGAGAAATAAGGCTGGAGCCTCTTTTGCCGCTCGCGGGTAACCGGAGAGGAAGGTCGACCAGCATTTTTATCGGCGGAAGCTTCGTCTTTCGCTTTCGCTGGCGTCTATCGACCTAGACCCATTTTTTTCGGCCTCCAGTTAACCGGCCGGCCGTTTGGGTGGCAGAGAAGGAGACGCGCGTCCGCCGAGAATGCCGGGAAGAGGAAAAAGAAGAGGCGGGGAGAGGAAAAATTATTTTAAAAATCCCAACCCAATAGAAAAAAACGCCTCGGAAAGCGGTGGATAAAGCCTTCCATCGCCGGAAGGAAGTCCGAGAGAACGCCCACCTCCACTGGGATTACTTCGGTGGCTTTTTCCTTCCGATAATCCGTTAACTCTCGCCGTTACCGGGTCTGGAAAACCCACCGGCGCCCTAAAAACAAGACGTCGGGAAATTTCTTCTACATTATTATTGTTATTATTATTATTATTATTATTATTATTATTATCGATAGTTGGAAATATCGATTACTCTTTCTCTCTGCTGTTAAAAAAACCCGATTATAAATAGTCTCCATTGTCGTATCGTCCGATTAAATATTCGCTTTAAAATACCGGGCTGTTAATTTTGGCTCTCCTTTCGGGACCAGAACCCGTCCTTGGCCTTCCCGCGCCGGCCAAATCCGTAACCCAAAGGAATAATCTTATCCTTAAATTTTTTTCGGAAGACGTTTTTAAGTTATTCACGGAGCTGGGCCGAGTGGGGGAGGACCCGGTATAACGAAAAGTTTCCGTTTCACGACACCAGAGACGGACAAATTCCACGTTTCCCGCCAAAAACGACGGGTGGATTATTCGACCGGGCGGAAAGGAAAGCTTCCGGGCTTTTCGGCCGCCCCGTCTTCCGTGTCTTTGTCCGGTTAACCCTTACCGGAAATCGGCCCCGCCTTAACCTTACCGCTTGGGTTTGTTCACGCCAATCATTGGATAAAAGTTATCGTCTGGGGTTAAACGTTATCGTTCTCCCCCCAGAGTGGCTCGAAAATACAAATGGCCACTTTCCCTCCACCTTTCCCAGGAAAATAAATGGAAGTAGCGAAAGAAATGGCCAGTTTATCCTTCCGAAATCCTCGCCCGCGCGAAAAACGGAAGTTTTTCGCGCGGGCTAGGATTAACTTTTTTGGGGAATTTCCATAATCCGCTCCTCCGTCTCTTCGGAGACGGTTTAAGTTTAAATCTTATTGGGCCAAGCTTAACGCTCGCAACATTTACCTTGGAATCGGTTCAGTTTTGAAATATTTTAGCTTATTAATCGCTAACTAAACGTTGGTTTGCTTCCGATTTTACCCGACTTGGAAATTATAATCCCAAAACCATTTTGGGAATTTTGGCCGCAGAAGTCCCGAGTAAGGCCAGGAACACACATGCGTAAAATTGTGTGGCAGAAAACTGAATCAGAAATCAGCTTTCGTTTCAGTTTCTGTTTTACTCTTTTATGTCAGAACACACATACGTAAAAATTCTGGCCGAATAGGAAACACCACTGCCACCAACAGTGCTAATTTTATGAATTTTTTCCTCTCATATAGGCTATCTATCCTTTTGTACCTTCCATTTTTTCTCTACTTCCTCTGCTATAATATAGAAAATTTAAATGAATAGACTTGCATTCCGAATTCAAATAAAGAACGTGTGATCTAAATACTAAGCCTATATATCGATTCTACTAGATGTACAGTACCTGTTATTTGAAATTTAGCACCTATAGCCGTACCTAATCCATAAACGTTCTTTATATGCAGTGTCTTTATACGTGACACTGATGTAGTCGAACGGATCCAATAAACTCCTCTATTTCATTTATTTTTCGTGTTTTGTAGACCGTCACAATTGTAGGGATAACGCTCGATTTATGGGACGAAAATGTTCGTTTAAGTAATTTTTTAGACCAGGGGTCTCCAAAGTGGTCTATATCGACCCCCAGGGGTCGATATAATATTATTGGGTGGTCGATGAAAAGACTAAAACTTACAAATTTTGAACCGAATATTGCTAATCTTGCTAAGGTTTATCAAGCTTATCCGTCTTATTGATTGTCAGTTACAAAAATTATTATTAACATATATACGGTACAGTACTGTACGATAAATGTAAAAATTGTAAAATTAAAAGATATATATTAAAATAGTAAGCGCTTTTTTTTTTCTTGTAACAAACTGTTTGGTGGGGGTCGATGTGAGGTTTCGAAAACTTGTAGGGGGTCGACGATCAAAAAAGTTTGGCGACCCCTGTGTGACTAACGAATTATTTTTAAAGCGTTTCTTATGTGAAAAGGCTAGACGTAAGGCAGAATGATCGACAAAAGCTAATAGTGTTTGTTTGGCCTCGAAGAATGCTTTCCTAACAAATTAGTAAAAAGTAAGCCGAAAGTTTTGGACTTTTAATAATATTGCTACGTCATTTTAGAGAGCCGTTTCCGGGCTCTTCTCGCTGGCAATTCCTCTTTTTAGACAGAAATTTGGCATTACCCAGTTCGTTGGCTATTTTTTATCTTTACTTACGCCGCCTCCGGCTGCCGAATTCGGCCGCGTTTGAAGTGTCCCGGTAGCCAAAAATTCGTCTCGACCGTTTTCCGTAACCTCACTTCGACCGTAAACTAATACTGTATTTTGTAACTGTGACGTGGGAAAAACGTAACCATAGACATAATTTTTGTAACCCTAGACTTACCGGAGGAAATTTTAGGAGGAAGTGCGGGTTACCGCCCTTGGTTTTGGCACCCGGTAAATGTCATACCGAAAATACGGTACTGGCAAATTCCCAGTGGTATTTTACTTGTGACGTTAACGATTCCTTTTATTTGCTATTTAGTGTACATACAGTATGTTTACCGTAATTTATCGACGTTTCTTTTCCTATTTTTTTATTAATTTCTTTCATATTCTTTTACGGCTCCGGGCCCAGCTATAAGTGTTAATCCGTTGGCAGACGAAGGATTCCGGGATCCGACTGCCGAAACGTAGGCTACGAATACAGTCTGGTCGGCTCGGCCATCCCGTACGACCGGGGGTCGGGCATGGCCCGTTCCCCCCGGAAAATTTTGAAATTCGGCAAATTACGGGACGTTTCCGGGCCGTCCGAAATGGGCATCGAGTACCTCGACCCCTGGGCCGACGATTTTATCATAAAATAGCCTTATTTTAATAACCAACGCTTTATCCGTCCGTTTTCGAAACGAAATAAATTTCCGGATGTCAGAGTTTGTCGACTTTGCTGGACGATAATTTGGCACACTGGTCGGACGGCGGATTAGTACCGGGCTTTGTTTTTTCGCCTTTACTGTAGTATTTTATTATTGTAAAAATTTTCTCGACGTCCCGAAAGGAGTCGCAACTCGTAGTTTGCCAAGGCGACGTAATTAATTTATTTTCTAAAACGTGTTTTACAAGCAAATTGCGCAGCCTTCGTTCGATTTCTAGTCATTACTTAATAAGGCAATAGTAATTTCTGTCAAATAATTTTTCGTCGTAGTTTTCGGTAAACGATTAACTTTACTTTCTACCAACGTACTGTACTTATCGCCCGGCAATATTTGATCTACTTTTAGGTAATTGTATTTGTTTTCTGACTTTAAAGTATCACTCTTACACTTATTTCGGTGGTTTAAATTGAAATTTTATAAACGAACGAATAAGTTTTTTGCAGTCAAAAGCGCAAACCTTCCGTGCTTATTCTACAAAAATAAAGTGCGGTTTACCCGTCATATTCAAAAGATGTTTTATATTTCTCGAATATCTTTTCCGGAATTGTTTATTAAATATAAAATGAAAATAAAATCATCGAAAAGACGACCGCAATTTTGCCTCAATTAAAACGAATTTTCCTTCAGTTCACATAAAGAGTGGAAATTTCAACTTCCGTCGTTTTGAAACCATCCGTACGCTACGAGTAACTTTATTTCCGTCCTTCTGCTGTGTTCTTTGTAACAATAGCGTGGTGCAGAATTCTATAGCCATTTTTAATAAATGGAAATTATTCGATCGAATTCTTCTTTAATATTTAAGAACTTCCAAAATGGCGGTGGCATTCCGCGTCGACTTTTGCCTCTTAGGGCAACGTGTGGCAACTTTTGTCTAGTTTAAGTTTAAATTAGTATCGTACACTACGTCGTTTCGAGTGACTCTCGACAGATTGTTGATTTAATCAACAATGTAAGAGACCGAGGCTGGAGCATTTGGTACTAGAAGCAAACTCAAATACGACGCCTTTTGAAAGCCTTTCGTTAGTCTTACGAATTCAAAAATCATAAAACAGCATTTTTTATTAATGTAATGTGTATTGTATTTCTTAATATTTTCCGTATTCTTAATATTTTTCTTAATAATACTCGTATGAGACGGTTTTCTACGGATTATTTACTAGTTCGCCCACCTAACGATTTCGGTTCGGTTTCGGCAACGCCATCTGACCGAGGGAATGCCTGTTCGGAGGACTTTTATGGAAAACTGGCCACTATTACTAACGCTAAGAAAACCCGGAAAACTCCACCTGGCCGGTCCCTTGGCCGGGCGCCAACTGGCCACTGACTACCGGTGTACAGTGGTTTTATCACTCG